ACTGCATTGTGTCGTTGTCCACAATGCTTCGGTGACAGAACTTTGAAATAACAAACAGGGAAAACAATAAAAGGCATGACCTACATCGCACCCAGCTAGCCAACTCCGCCCAAGCTCCATGATCCGTATTTATTTATTTATTTATTTTCTTCATTTGAATATCTTGTGAAATGATTTTTTGTAGAAAAAAATAAAATCGAATTTGCTTTCATCTCGAAAGAGATATCCAATCACATGAGGCCAAAATATATAAAAACAATACTGATTCTCTAAAATCAAAAGTGGGAGGGTCTAGGGCGAGAGGACAATCTGAAACAAGCCAATTAGAGCTCAGCCTCAAGTCACATGCATTTCAAAAGTTTACGGACCTAATAGACAACTATTTGTCTGGCGCCCCGCACACACAAAACAAACGAAATAGAGTTTTGATTATTATTTTTTTTAATAGGTACTAACATGACTACCAGTCGAATAGTATTACTAAATAATGCAATTTCTTGATTATTTTGCAATAAATATTTAACTTATTTTTAACATGTTGAAGAAGGCTTCTTCCCTGGCTAACTTGGAGGGGGCGGCGCCTCAATGCCCCCAATTGACCAGCCGCCACTGAATGTAAGGTGTCAGGAAATAGTTTAAGGAATACTTCACCCAAAAATGAAAATGTGCTGAAAATTTATTCACCCTCAGGCCATATAAGACGTAGATTTGTTTGTTTCTTTATCAGAACAGATTTAGAGACATTTAGCATTACATCACTTGCTCACCTCTGCAGTCAATGGGTGCCATCAGAATGAAAGTCCAAACAGCTGATAAAAACAACACAATAATTCACACAATGCCAGTATCTTTTGGTTAAATCACAGCCGTGAACCATGATTTGCTATTTGCTTGTTAGTTGCAGGTGTTATTTAAAACTAAGGGGTGGGGCATTCTCATTCTAGAGATCTTCTGATTGGACAAAAATCTGTGTAGTGCAGGATGAAAAATCATTTTTAGTTCATATTTGAGCTCTATAGCTTTTTAAATGCAAGAGCACATATGTGACAATCTGAGAATGTGATGTTGTTTGAGTTATTCAGCTGTCTGTGAACAGGAAAAGGAGGTTTGTTTAATGCCTTTTTTATCTCGGCTATCTGTGAAAAGTTTAAACTTTTTCTGCAGTGGAATACCCTGGCTAACTTGGAGGGGGCGGCGCCTCAATGCCCCCAATTGACCAGCCGCCACTGAATGTAAGGTGTCAGGAAATAGTTTAAGGAATACTTCACCCAAAAATGAAAATGTGCTGAAAATGTATTCACCCTCAGGCCATATAAGACGTAGATTTGTTTGTTTCTTTATCAGAACAGATTTAGAGAAATTTAGCATTACATCACTTGCTCACCTCTGCAGTCAATGGGTGCCATCAGAATGAAAGTCCAAACAGCTGATAAAAACAACACAATAATTCACACAATGCCAGTATCTTTTGGTTAAATCACAGCCGTGAACCATGATTTGCTATTTGCTTGTTAGTTGCAGGTGTTATTTAAAACTAAGGGGTGGGGCATTCTCATTCTAGAGATCTTCTGATTGGACAAAAATCTGTGTAGTGCAGGATGAAAAATCATTTTTAGTTCATATTTGAGCTCTATAGCTTTTTAAATGCAAGAGCACATATGTGACAATCTGAGAATGTGATGTTGTTTGAGTTATTCAGCTGTCTGTGAACAGGAAAAGGAGGTTTGTTTAATGCCTTTTTTATCTCGGCTATCTGTGAAAAGTTTAAACTTTTTCTGCAGTGGAATAGATATATGTGTATCATATCTATCAGCATGCTTTTCAGCTTTTTCAAGGTCCTTTCATTTATCGTACTGCTACTTCAATCTCACTCCTCTGACCTGCAAGTGAAAAGCGTTTTTTCTTTTTTTTTTTAAAGCTGAAGTGTCTGTCTGCTCTTTTAATTGTTAGTGTGTCAGACACTCTGCCCTGAATTTATTTCAATTAACCTTTCTATCATAATCACCAGTTATTTTTCAGCAAAGATGAAGTTCTAATGCACTCCTTCCCCTTAAGGGGTAAAGTTAAAAGGACCAAACTGCAGGGGCTCGGCAAAACAGGCATTTCTCAGGGCATGCTGGGGGCTGCCTGGGACTGGGCATCCTTTCTCACTATTGCATCATGCCAGGCCAAAATGATTGATTGAACACTTGAAGCTGTAGAAATGTCAAAAAAAATGAAAAGGTTTAAAAGCTGGTAATATCCATTTCACTCTCTCCTCCTCCTCCCTTATTCTTTCTGTGTTTATTTTGAGATCATCTCAGTGCTTTGCTCTTCTGAGATTTCACTCTGTTTTTCTATTCTGGTGTCTCGGTTGCGTTTTACTGACACTCAGTCTTTTCTTTCACTCTCCATCTCAGGTGAGCTAATAGTGGAATATTTTTATCAAAGAGAACTCAAATCGCATTCGACCTTGGTTGAATGAGGGCTTTTTGGGGGGGAAAAAACACAAACTCATTGCTCAAGGTCATAAAATCATTGATTCGTCCAATGTTCAAACATTTCGGTTATCAACCCAGATATTCATATCAATCTGTCCATCAGTTCATATATAACATTATATAGTAGTTAATTACAGTCATTAAATTTCCTTGAATCCAACAGCACTGTTTGTATCACTCCACTTCTCTGTGTTTCTTCTAGACAGGCTGTCAGTCTGTGCATTAGTGGTGGGTATTTTTCTCTTTCTGCAAGTTACAACGGTACACCAGTAGGTTGTGACAGATCTTTGAGCGAGTTATTGAATCATTCATTAAATTAATTTGTTGAAAATGCTAATTTCTTCAGCAACAAAACAAAGACTCACTGAATTATTTATTCAGCTGATTCATTCAAAAATGCTGATTCATTCTCAGTGACACAGTTGTTTTTGCTTTGGCTTCGTTTGTCTATTTTTCCTTGACCAACTAAAGTAGCCCTGTAATAAGAGGCAATATTGTGTCAAAATGTAAAACCATGTCTGCACTTGATACAAGTGAAGAATGCGGAGTACAGGAGAAATATAATGGGTCATCCGTTTAGTTTCAATGAATTGTCACATCGTGCCACATAAGAGTTCTGCGGGTTCTGTTGGCTTTTGACGCATCCAAGTTCGGAGGTGTTTGACAGAATGTCCAGTGTAGACAGCCTTTTGCAATCCACTTTGCTGCTTTCCAATTATTTTTTTTTGTTTATGTAAACATGCGCTAGACACAGACGTGTTTGATTGTTGCCTTCATGTCTTTTGCAGCATCTTGTGCATTTCATAGAATTCTAAAAATGCAACACTCAAGTTAGAAGTTTCATATTTAAAAAAATTAAATGCATCTATAGACTTTGCGTTGTTTTCATTCCACTACCGTGCCTCTCTCATTTTAAACAAAAAAACACATGGCCCCTCAAGCTATTACAGCACAACAAAACGCAGGCATGGCCACGCAGAGTGCAGACACATTGCTACTAAATATTAACTTGTCTATTGGAATACTTTGGGAATAGTACACTCTAAATCTTGCTTTTGAATGCCTGTAGTAGCATCTTGGAGTTGTACTGACTGCAAACTTGATTTTCTATTTTGACAGTTTTCTAATAATATATTTTCTTACAAGATGATATGATTAATAGTTAATTTGTTTATAGTTTTATTTTTGTATATCACCCTAAATTCTATTCATTTTAAAAAAATCCATTCATGTCTGTCTTTTTCCTTTTTGCTGTATTGTGTACATCCGGTATATTCATATATTGTAGACCTAGTTTTCCTTTTTTCCTCCTATTTCACCCCCTCTCTCTGAATCTCTTGCCAGTGTTGGCTTAGAGCTTTCTTATCCTGCATAATATTGCTTCTCAGCCGATAAAACAGGGAGTACAAATCCCGCTCCAGAATCGATGGGCACAGTTATTCCTGTGACCCCTGCCAACCAGCTGGCCACCAGCCACACAGTTCCTTAGCCAACATGTGAGCTGACAGACCACTGCAGTCCTGCACTGTACCCGCCTCCCCGGGGGCCAGACAGACCATGCCTGCTGGACCAGACGCAGTGTGTCTCTGTATGTTCAGGTCCATATGTGTGTGCGGTGTGGTCAGACTCTTCCAAAATACCTGCGTGAGGTTTGGAACAGCTTCATTTTCCACCAGGCCAACTAGTGAGTTTAAACTACCTGCTTCTCATGAAGTCAAACTTTAGCAGGTTTTTAAGAGATTCACTGGAATATTTGAATTGAATATTTGATTTTTGTCTTTCTCTGTGAATTGTTTTGCTTGTCATAAATCTGGGGATGCACAAATATTAAAACTATGTCTGACAGAAATGTAATAATCTAAATCTAGATAATTAGATAATTAATTTTGTTATGACCACTATTGTTTATTATTCATTTATTTATTAATATTTTTTCAGTTTTTTTTCCCCTTAGATACATTTTAAAGTCAATTGATTTTTTTTATATTTCCTTTTTTTTTTTAAACATTCTTGCTTTGATTGTGCAGAGATTATGATCAAATCTTCAAACCTAAATTTAATTTTTTTTAAAGTATAACCGGTTATAACCAATGCTCACAGTAACTTTATTCACTTCACAGATCACGCAATTCTTATTCTCTGCTGTGAGCTTATCTAACAACTCCAAAATATAGCGCTGCTAAAACATCACAATTAGGCTGTTAGAGATATATAGGTCAGTTTCATGCTTAATTCTTATTCTTGCGTAATACATTACAACATGTAGTTTATGTAAACATTTTATTTTATTGTAGTTTTTTCCTAAAAGCTACTGTAGTAATATTAATATACAGTGTATTTCAATGTTAATTATAATTACTTTTTTGCCCTTATATTTAAATTCTGCAAATAACACAATCAGAAAGTTGTACTATAGTTGTGCTATAATGCTAGTAATCTTTGACTTGAATTTTAGTCCCATGTTTTTCACATCTCATTTTTCTCAAAATTTTTAATGCTTAAAATCTCTCCTTTTTTCAGTGCAACAATGATTATGTTCCTGTGTGTGGCTCCAACAACGAAAACTATGAAAACGAGTGTTTTCTGCGGAGAGACGCCTGCAAACAGCAGACCGAGATCCTGGTGGTCTCTGAAGGATCCTGCCCAGCCGGTACGTTCAGTCGTGTTTGGTGCATATGTCTCTTGAAGGTTAATCCACAGCCTAATCATTTGCCCATAAAATGTGTAACTGTGTGAGTATTGAGCAAGACTGCAATTTACTCATCCCTGAGGTCTGAATCAGACAAGGACTCTCATATCTGTGCTTGTGTTAAACATGTTATACTGTGCTATAGTCAGACAATACCCATAATACCTCTAACAGGCTAGAAGAACCATGTATTATTGCTTTGTGTAAAGCTTTTTCTGTGTTTTAAACCCTGCATTCAGAGCTTTTTATGCCACAAAGGCTGTTCCACAAGACTGGATTGTTGTATATGATTTCAGAAAAATATTCCCCTTTTTCCTCTTATATTAAAGGAATATGCATTGCATGTTTATGGCCAATCAAAGACCAAATGATACGAGCAAAAATGTGTTCTGTGGTCAGTAAGATGGTGTATTGCGGAGGCTAAAGCAGATGTTTGGTGCTCTGGTAGTTGCTGAGTCAGACTCCATTAAACAGTGCCTAAACACACTGAAACCTCTAAAAATTATCTCTAGGGAGAGAGAGAGTGTGGGAGGCGAGTATTTGTGCTTATGGAGCATCCAGAGAATGAAATGTTCTCCTCATGCCGTGTGTGTCTGTAGGTAGAGTCATAATTCAGTCCTAGCGGGATGTTGGTTCTCAAGCCTGAATGTGTATGAGCATGTACTTGTCTGTAGGTGTTCTGGAAGGTAAAAGTTAATTTACCGAAACAAGCTTCAGAAAACAAGAAGAGTGTTTGTCTTTGTCTCTGTGAAGCTTAAAAGGCGCCACTGAATCATCTCTCTGTTTGGCTTTGTCTGTCTGAAGGCTTTCCTATCATCTTTTGCTTTTATTTCGCTCTTTACGTTCATGCATTGAGTGTACATCAGACCAGACAAGTTTAAGTGCCTCATGGATATAACACTGAATACAAAAGCTAAAATTACAGTTGTAATCAAGGATGTCTTGTTTACATGCTAAGTGCTGCAAAAATAAATAAATAAATACGTTTTTTAATATCTTTCAATAGCTTGATCTCATGAACCTCACAAACCCAGCAACTATAGTTCTTCCTAAGTGCCTGTAACAGCCTGGCACTTTGAAAACATCTGTATTTGTAATTGCAGATTAAATGAAGAAAATGAAGATAATTCAAAGACATTACAATATTGTGACTGCAGACTTGCAAAAAAAATCTATCTATCTATCATCTATCTATCTATCTATCTATCTATCTATCTATCTATCTATCTATCTATCTATCTATCTATCTATCTAATCTCTTATGTTCAGCAAGGCTGCATTTATTTCAATAAAAAGTAATGTTGTATACTTTATAAAAATTTTAAATAACTTTTCTATTTGAACATGTTTTTAAAAAATATTTTTTTTTATGGCAAAGCTGAAATTTCAGCAGATGTTATTCGGTCTTTACTGTCACATGATGCTCCACAAATCATTCTAATATGCTGAGAAACATTTCTTATTATCTATGTTTAAGGCATGCTGCTTAAAGGTGACATATCATGAAAATCTGACTTTTCCAGGTTTTAAGTGCTATAATCAGGTCCCCGGTGCATCTACCAACCAAGGAAACGTGAAAAAGATTTACCCAGTAACTTTGTTTTGGTAAGCCTTTTTCTGCAAGCGTCTGAGAAAACAAGCATGTCTGGTTTCGCTCCCTTGGTGACGTGGCAAAGGGATCTCATTATAATATTACCGCCCCTTAATCTGTAAGTTTACACCCACGGCGCCGTCATTTTGATTTCGCAAGCGACAACGATGTACCAGTTCTAATGCCATGGCGAAAGTTTGAGCAAAACATGCTAACTGTTCTGTCTTTGGCTGCACAGACAAGCACAGAACAATATTTAGAGTCCCAGCCTCAGAGGAGACAAGAGAGCAGTGCATTTATTGATTTATTTACTGTATATTGCTGCTGCCACACAGATCTAAAATAAACATGCAATTTATTTCCCAGCTGTTTACCTTCACAGACATAACCGACTGTTTTTGTAACTCGTGTGTTTTTAACGTAAACTTGTGTGTGAATGAGAACTTAGTTTAGTACTCACATGCTGTGACAGCCGCTTTCTGTCCGTGTGCTTTGGATGTGTGCTCTCAGAAAACTGTATATCAGAAGTTTAAACTCATATGGTTTAAAACGCATGATTTCAGCGCGATAAACATGATAATCAGAACCATAACAGATGTTTTTAGCAGATACGAGCTGTAATGGCGCAGCTCTATTCTGCAAAAGGGGGCGGGGAGCAGCAGCTCATTTGCATTTAAAGAGACATGCCCGAAATACAGCGTGTTTCTGCTTCCACTCAAAATAGGCATTTTTCATAATAAATTATCTGAGTATTTTGTGCTGAAACTTCACAGACACATTCTGGGGTCACCAGAGACGTATATTACATAATGTAAAAAGGGGTGTAATATGTCTCCTTTAATATTTTTGTGGAAACAGCGATATTTTTCCCCCGGATTCTGATGAATAGAAAGTTCAAATGAAAAGCATTTCTAATCTTTTCTAATACTATAAATGTCTTTACTATCAACGTAATGTGTTCTTGCTCAATCGTTAGTACCCCCAAACTTTTGTATTGTAAAAGTGGAAAACTATAAAAAAATGTCAATAGAGTTTTTCACCATGTCATAGTAGAGAAGGTAGAAATTGTAGTAGAACCTATAATTCAAACCTGAAGCCCAAAAGACATTCTCAACAGATCTATTAAATTCCTTACCAATTTGATTTTGACTACGCTCAATTCAGATTTAATAGTACATTTTATACACATCATTATGTCAAGGATTAAATTATGTGGTTAAACAAAAAATGTAATTTACCTGAAACCCTGCTGAATGCTTAAAGCTCTGTCTAAAAAGAGCTTTAGGTTAAACTAAAAAGAATATAACCACAGCCTGATGAGCTTTTCACACTTTGAGCTCTGAGGACATTGAGGAAAGAGACAGAGAAATGAACTGCCTCACAGTTCTGATGCTTGTACCAGCTCTTCTAACTCTTTGACACTGATTTCCTCTCCACTAATTCCCTGGCAAATGATCCAGCAGCTGACAGATGACCTACAGAGATATGTGAAGTGTATCACACTCTGCTATTTTCTTTATTTCTCCAAGGCTGGTTGCAGCTTGGCTCCTCTGTCTTTATTCATACATCAGTATCATAACTGAAAGTGAGCACCTTCATGTACCAGGAAATAGAACATTGATTGTAATAAGCGGAGAAGTATTAAAGACGTCATATCACATCATATTACATTTTTATAGTTTATCATATTTTAGGTTTTCATAGATATTTCCCTCCCTTTGTCTGGCTCTTTTTCATATATATTTCCCAACCTTTGTCTGGCTTTTAGAATTAAATGCTGCTATGCCTGTAAGAAACGCCCTTAGCATGTAAACATCTGTGACCAAGTTTACACTATAAAAAATTGATGTGTACAAGTCAGCCTGCAATTGCTTAATAATTACAGTATGCGGAGGTGTATGCAACAAGCATTCAACAGTTTGGGGCCAGTAAGATTTTTTATGTTTTTGAAAAAAGTCTCTTACCAAGGCTCTATTTATATGATCAAAAATACAGTAAAAAATTGTAATATTGTGAAATATTATTTACATTTACAGTAACTAACTGTGTTATATTTTAATATATTTTAACACATAATTTATTGCTCAAATGGCAAAGCTGAATTTTCAGCAATATTTCAAAAAATATTTTTGTAAGATTGTAAATGTCTTTACTGTCACTTTCGATCAACTGATTGGATTGGAGCGAGAGTTTATCGAAAGTCTGTTGTACAGATTTATTTATTTATTTTATTGTATTGTATTGTATTGTATTGTGTTTATTTGCACAAGGCTTCAGATTTGGACCTGTGTTTGGTGCTCTCCAAGGTGCTGAATCCCATTCTGCATGTTGAAAGTGCCATTGCGCTTGTCAAATACAATTCTTCACTTCTAGTCTAGAGTCAGCAGTAATGGTACTGTTTAAAGTCCATGAATTACTGGCATAGTTACTAAATTTAGCTATAATCCCATTTACCAACAGTCACTTCCAATACTGGTTGGTGAAATCATGTTATTCCCTTGTCCCACGAAGTCATTTCACCATCCTTTACTGTGTCAAACCTCTCCTCCATCACACTTGGGTACTGATATTTGACTGTAGCCTACTTTCCCAAAATGAAGTCCTTGCTGTGCTTCGTTGAAACTTTCAGAAGGGTCTTATGTGCCAAATATTAAGAAGTATTGCAGAGGTGAGTATATGCTTCTCTCTTTTTTTCTGGCATTGATAAGTGGGCTATTTACCTCGCAAACGGTGGCAAGTTCACCGCTGTGCTGCTGTAAGATCAGTGTGAATAATGTGCTGATTAAGGAGACGGGTCATGTGCTTATATTGAGTTTTCAGTGCGGCGCAGGGCAGCAGGCCATTAGCTTAGTGGTGCGTAACTGTAGAGAGGAGAAGGCAGTTTATTTTCAACACTGGAAATCGAGGTTAAGATAGCCTTTCTGCGTAATCACACTCCATGTAGTGCTAAAGTAGCTTTCTCCATACAGGGAGCATGCATCATATTCCAAGAAATGACTATTACATTCTCAAAACATTCACATAAACAGCTCAACAGGCCTGTTTTATCATTAAATACTGATATGTTACCTGACGCACTCATGTCGGTCAAGCACGATGTTCTTGAAATAGTTAATTGTGTGTTGTAACAGCGGCCGTGGCATGTTAAATTACAGCTGCGTTTGTCTCTGCTGACAGAGAACATCTGCCTCTGAGCCTCGAGCTCAAGTTCACTCAACCCATTGCATCGTGGGAGCCCAGATAAAAAAAGTGCAAAGTCACCTCATAACACATTCTTCCTGATAAATGATAAAGGCAGAGGAGATGCGTAACCCGCTGATACCTCTGAATGAGGAACAAAGGTCTCTTACGCTTAATAAGACTCCTGCCATTGTTTCGTGCCAGCAAACTCAGCAGAGTCCGGTCTCACAGGAAGAAGTGTGCCGAGAAACAGACTGTTCGTCTCGCTTTACTCTTCCAGCCTCACTGTGAAATAGTCTTTTTGATGTACTAGGGAACTTCATGAATTTTTGAGGTTGTGAAAGGTTTTCCACTTTTTTTGATCCAGTGCTTCAGGACTGGTTCATTGGTTCATTGTGTAGTTTTTGCCTTTTAATGTCCTCAGTTTTTATAAGGAATGATGAATACAAGGATGGAAAGTTAGTGAATACAAGGATGGATAGTTGTTGAATGTAGACTAGTTATCTGTTTAATCTTATAAAGTTGTATATATCATATTTAAAGCATCGTGTTCCAATGACTCTACATGATTAACATGATCGATACCTGAAAAACCTTTTGTACCTTATTTTATACATAAGAGCCATTTATAAATGTGCAAGGCTTCCGGTGTCAGCCAATAACAAACTTGTATTTGTATTCATGTTTTTCTAATTTATTATTGTAAGTTTAAAAACACTTGATTGTAGCTCAGATAAATTGTTGAATATTGTTAAAGCAATGGCAAGATTAACTTTAAATATTCATTTTGAAATACCAATAATAATATGCCAATTAAAGCAATGTAATTTATTTTAAAAATGGCATGATGCCGATCACAAATAAAAATCATTAAATCATTCAATTTAAGTGAATTTTACTAAGATATATTTAGGGTGGGAATTGGTATATGTATTTTTTTTATTTGCAGCTTGTTCTGTCATTGAATTGTTAAAGTGAAAATCAATTCACTTTTAATAATGTTCTTTCTACCATATTATTGCTCATAATAATGAATGTACACATTTAGTTTTTTTACGGTACATGACAGGCTTTACAGACTAAATATTAGTCATGTTTTATAATTGTATGCATATATGCAGGTGATGTTGTTGTGAAAGCATATCAGATAAACAGGTGAAAGTATTTTGACAGATTTAGACATATTCTTTGCATTAAAGCCATAGATGAGTGTTTCATGCAGATGGCCAGAGAGCATCGCTCAGATGGTCAAAGACAGATTGAGTGTGACATGTCTCTGAATCAAGAATGTAACTGTCAGGCAATTAGAAAAATAAACGAGTCTGAACTTCAGTATAAAATAAACAGTATGATGTCATACTGCTCAGGTCCCGCCCACAACTGCTAACAGACTGTCCCGTATTAACATATTCCTGCCCTCAGTCAGTTCTGTCAGTGCTGTCATTCATTTTTTCCTCGAACAGCTGTAGAGACATGTCTCAAAAGGTAATGCAGATTTGTAGCTGGATGTAAAAATAAACATAAGAGTCCTCATTTTCTCCCAACATCAGAGCCACTGAGGATGCAGTGGATTAGTTTTGTTTTTGATGGTAGCGTGCCACCGAATGCACAACAAAAATGGAAGAGAGGAGCAGGGTGAGCAGTAGCTCATTATCATTTCAAGAGACATGCACTGAAACGGGTCGCTGTAAACAGAGTTGATTTTTTTTATCTTGCTATCTAGCTGGTTTTATCTTGCTATCCTTTCCTCATTTTCACTTGAGTGTCTTTTTATGCCTCATATCCAGTCAGAGGGCATTCGTTACATTATGATACTTGACTATACTTGATTTTAGAGTCATGTTTAAACAAATATTGTGACAGCAACACCATGAAGCACTGGACTCTTCTGTTTTTATGCACAAAGGGTGTACAGAAGGTACATAGTTTCTATGTTTTATTTGAAACACTTATTCTAAATCAGACTGCGATGAATCAGAGTAAGTGTGCATTTATAGTATCTCTCTCTTGCATCATTTGTGCAGCCCACCTCTGCCTACATGAGCCAAATGGGTCACATATTCACCATTGATCATCCCACAGTTCAAGTACATAAGACCATATCTGTACTGTAAATTGGGATAGTATGCCCAAACGCCAGAGACCCATATGAGCAGAAATGTACATGGTTTATCCATTCATCCATCTATTTTCCAAATCGCTTGTCCTATAGTGTTATGAGATCCCAGCATCTCAAGACATAGGCAGGAAAACACGTTGGATGGATGGCCAGTCCATCACTTGTACATTCTTAAAAATTACTTTCATTCAGTTTTTTTTTTTAATTGATCTTGGAAGTTGACAAATAAATGACATAGACATGAACTTTTAAAAAAGAAAAGAAAAAAAGTAAAACATAATTTATATATCCAATTATAAAAATATAAATGATATTAAATTATAGAAAATATCAGGATATTATTCTCACATGATACAATTACTGTATTTCAACATTTAGCGTTCATTTAAATATTGCTGAAGTGTGACAGATAACTTTACAATTAGCAATGTTACATGTAAACTTCCAATTAATATAAAGCCTTAAAACCTGCAATAATGATAAAGTATTGTTTGACCCTTATTGAATTCACTAAAATGATAGAAAGTAAGACTTGGACGAAGACATGGATGTAATGTCCTTCTTATTGTGTTTTACAGATGCTGGTTCAGGATCAGGAGATGAAGGTAAGGCAGACCTTTTTGACACCTGAATTTGTGTGCATACTTCTCATTAAATCACTCTGCACTTGTTTACACTTCCTCACAGATGATGCTCATAAACACACACTCACTTCCGAGCCTGTCAGCAGTCATCTGCTGTCCTCCACAAGCCTCCCACTGAAACTGAGATTCAATTACACCCACTCACATATTGTCCAGAGAAACAGAATTATTACACCCCCCCCCCCCCCCCACCAGCCACCCCCCCCCCCCC